ATAGGTCTGCTAGTTTCACATACAGCAGTTAAGCTCCAAAAAGACAGAGCTCTTTGCACCCAGGTTCAGCATGTGTATTGATTTGAAGCAAAATGCTGGAACAAGGCAGAGGCCTGCTTAAAAATTCAGAGCCTCACCATATATACAGATACCAAGCAGGAGAATAGCACTTCTGACACTGACACAAGGCTTGCTTTTCAGAACAAGGATTTTCTCCTTACCCACACTTTCTATGGAATTCCAGCTTTGACTTATTGTGAGTATATTTCACATGAGAAAATTGTCAAGCAGTCCTGAAATGGTCATAGGGTCTTTAAAAATAACAGAGAAATGAGTTCTATTATAAGATTATGCTTTTGAAAATTTCAACTTGTCATTGAGGATTACTATGTAATTTTGCCTTCAATGAAGAGGACACCTGGAAATTATTTTATAGTCTGAATAATAAAGCATTTTCACATGAATGACAAGTCCATTATTGATTGATGTATTGATTGATCAGCAAACAATATTTTCCACTTTTCAGCGTTCACAAAGTTCAAGCAACGTTCCCACATCCAAACCTCCACTGCTCTCCACCCACATTCATCAAAACACATTCCATCACATCAGAATGGAAAATAGAGAAATAAGGTGTGAAGGGATATTAAAAGAAAAGAAAACACATCCCAAATTGTAATATTGCAGTTGACTACATTAATGTATGTGAATAATAAGAAGGGAAGGGACTATAGGTTTTGTTTTATAGTCATTACTTTGAACGTCGTACTCCGTTAATAACTTGGGTGTAACTACTTGGTCCACAGATCGGACCTAGGTACATTCAAAATCAACTACTTTGTTAAACATACCGTAAAAACTGTTCTTTATTATATTTCAAGTAGAACCAGGAGGTACTAAAACCTTTCTCAGAAAAGTTAACATTAAGTTCTCAGGGTTTAGTTTCTGAAGCTCATTTCTATAGCTGTAAAATGCTGGGCATAAAAAAGAAGGTCCTCTTGCAATGCATTTACTAATGTATACACTGCAGAAATTACATATCTTAGAGTTCTTAGACACTCTTGAAAATTTGAGAATTAAAAAAGCCATGTATCATATAACAACCCTTTGGTACATGATACCTCAGCTCTTTTTAAAAACTCATGGCATTTTAATAATAAATAAGTCCAGTATTTTGAAAAACTATACCATGGATCATTTGTGTGATCAAACAATATCATAAGAACATTAAACAGCAGAAAATAATTTTCAGGAGAGTATTGAATACTCATCAACATGCAAGTCATCTCAGAAAAAAGATATAATGAAGAGAACAAAAACTTACTTTTCTTGACAAAAAACATAAAACATAATTTGCAATCTCATTATTTAATGATGATACAACTTTTCAGAATAATACAGAAGTTAATGTGGACAGGAATCAAAAGATGAATTCGATTTTAAAAGTGTATATAATAATGCAGAAAATCACAAGCAGCATCAGGTGGAACATGCTGACTATTCATAAGATAATTTTAGGCGCTGGCAGGAAAAGGCCTGGAGGCAACAGGAATACATGAACCAGTGGTTTTGGTGCCACTTGAGAAGTTCTCTCTTTCCAGAGAAACCACTAAACCCCTGAACAGCACCCGCATGATGGGAGGGGAGGGGGGGGGGGGGGTGTTCTCTCTGGAAACCCAGTCACATTTACTCTATATATATAATAGAGCAATCCTTGGCTTTCCTCCCCCCACTCTTTATATATGAGTCAGGATTTGTCTGCTGGAAATAAACAACCCTCATCTGCTCATCTTGCACTCTGTCTTGATTTAGTCACATTTGTATGCCTCTGTCATCAAACATATCTCATGATTGAATCTTGTAGCAAAAAGAATAAGTCAGGGTCCTTCAATCTATATATATCTAGATTGAAGGAACATGAAGGGAAAAATATATATATAGATTGTAGGTACAGTGATACAAAAAAATAAATTTTCATTTTATATTTTTCAAGGTCTTTTATATCATATGATTGAATAAATAATTGAATATCAAACTCCTAAGAAATTATCCACATTTCACTTTTTTCAATTGTCTTTAAGGGAAAATTGATAAATGTCTTCACCATTAAGGTTATATAAAGAAAAAATGAAATTGGAACTATATTTTTTTAACAAAAACTAATTACATTTGTTAACCAAGGCTTGCCTGTATTCTCAAAATATAAAATGCAGGAGTTCAATATAGATCTACAGACAATTTTCCTTCTCTTCTCCCAAGAAAGAGAAATATTCAACCTAAAACCTCAGGAAATATTTACAGTTTTATTTTATGCAGACAAATAATGAATCATGAGCCTGGATCTAAAAATTGCAAACAAATCTTGATGGAATATTCTTCTTACCCAACTGTTAGGTCAATGGGGTCTATATGAACTTGAATCCCTTTTGCAATAGATTTAAAAAAATGCATTCCTCATTTTTCAGATTTGATTCTAATCCATTATATAGAATACTTTATGAGATTTTGCTCAAGAATGAAATTATCCAAATAAATTTCAAGCCTTAAAAATGAAAAAAGTACTGATGTATATACAGGCAGTATTAACACTTTGACAGCATGATTTCCAGATTCATGTGAGATGAAAAGATATTTCACAGTCAGCCCCCTGTTCATTTGTGCAAACAGAAAAGTCTGTTGTACAAAAAGTATCCTTTAGACAAATTCAGTTGTATAATTAATTAAAACTTTCAATTGTCAATAAACACTAATTTTAAACCAACAGAATTCTGCTTGGTGGATTTTACCTGTTGGGCAGGAGGAAAACCTGCCTGCAGATGAGCTGGTCTGTTGTGTGAAAATCCCTTATGTGGGAGGCCTGTTAGGGGAGGGGGGGGGGGGACACTGTATTCGCCTCTATAACATGTCCTCATCATGCAGGATATTGGGATCAAATTACATGCTAAGCAGACAACAAAGCAGCAGCAGCAGGAGAGAAAAGGGAACATATGTGATAAAGCCTCAAGCTATAAGAAGAAGAAAAGGAATCTTGTGCAACAGGAAGTTCCTTGGTCACCATTTTCCCCTCTGAAAGGCAAAGGTGTTCCTGTGTGTGCTGTGGGGGGTTCATCTCAGTGGTGGGGGAGTGAACAATAGGTCCTGGTGGTGGGGGTTGAGGGGGTAGAAAGAACATTATTTCACATGGATCAATCCCCCCCACCCCCCTGTCTTCTAGAAACTCTGCTCTCCTATTTCTCCCAGCTGCTGCTGCTGCTGCAGGGATTTTCCAGAAAATCCTACATGTGTAAGTATATAAACCTGCCCTGGGGGTGATATACAAGGTGAACAAGACAGTTTTTCTTTGTCATGGTCTGTCTTTCTCCCTCTCTCTGTGTGTGTGTGTGTGTGTGTGTGGTTTTCTCTATCCTGGGAGTCTCAAAACTTCTACACTAAGTATTGAGAACAAAATTTATGAAAATGTGTTCACAGCATGATCCCTTTTGCAGAAATAAAAATTAACCTACAATAATACATGCAATAAAGTACTTTTTCAGGGTTATTCAAAAGCAAAAATAAAATTCAACTTAGAATGTATATTCCTCTCATTCAGAAGCAAGATTTTTCCAGGAACCCCACCTAAACTTGAAAACCTTCTTCCTATGAACAATAATGAAATTACCTCCACTTGTGGCAATAAAAAAGTTTTAGGAAAACCTCCTGATGTTTACATTCATTTCTGCCAATAGCCAAAAGTGCCTTTGGGGAAACTTTCTCCAGCACAGGCCTATTGCAGCAAAAAATTCCCATATACCCTGACATTGAACAACATGCAATAATGGAAGAATAAACTGTAAAAAATGAAGTGCATGATAATATAAGGTCATGAAAAAAAGATACACAAGGAAAAGAGGAAAGCAACAGCACACATGACCTCAGAGTTCCTTTCCCCCCAGGGACTTGGTAGGATGTCTCCATTATCAGCACTCTAGAAACTTGTCAGAATAAATGCACTTCTGGAGTGCAGGGGGAAAAAAACAAGTGCCTTTCCATTTTTCCTCCAGGAAATTTCCACCCATGAATCAATCCTTCTCATCTCTCCAAAATGTTTTTACAAAACAATTCCAACAGTAAAAAAATAAACTTTTTATACTCCTTTTATTTACTTTTTGGATCACTATATAAAATAAAAAGCCATTTTTCACCTCACATACACACACCTTGATTATTTTTTAATTGCTGTTAAACACACAAAATATGGAGGGAACATTTAAAAAAAAACAGTTGTGAAACCCTTTCAACACTTGCTTAATTATTTCTTGCTTTTCCTCACCTCAACTCCACTTTTTTTAAATAAAAAATTCTATCAGTAAAAAAGAAATACAAAACTTGTTTTGTTAATCCTCTTATTCACACTTTGATCACTATAAAATAAAATGTATTAAAAAAAACAAGTCATCTTTCACCTCACAAATAGACACTTTGCCATTCATATTTTCATATTTTCTGAAAATTTCACAAGATAAAGAGATGGGAGAACAAGCAGTTGTGCATAAACCCTTCATCCTCAACAAGCAGCACAGCACTGACCTGTGTGCAAAGGCAGGCAGACAAGGTCCCTGTGAGCAACAGGGAACAGCACTTTCCAGTGCAATTCCAAGCCTGCCTCCCTCCCTCCCTCCTGGAAACACCTCCCATCAGGGAGACAGAGAGAGAGGGATCCCCTCAAGCCCGCATTTTCCACATCTCAGGGGGGATCCTGAGGCCACAGAAGGGGAAAAAAGGAAAAGGAATTGATACCCCCCCCCCCTGGAGCAAAAAGGGGGGTGGGGATCTCATCATCATGGCCAGTTCACAATCATCAAACGTGTCTCTTCCAACAGCACCTGCCAAATTCCTAGTGCTTGTCAAATATATATATTTAATGGCTGTCCTAAAAATGACAGGATGACCTGCATGTGCAGGAATATTAATTGAAGGGTTCATTTGTGCTGGGAACCAGGGGTGAGGAGATCCAATTCCCCTTCCCCCCATAGACCAGCAGGTCTATAAATACCATATGTACTGTTGTTCATATGGAAAATGTGATTACCTGTAATCTTAATCCAAAAGATAAACTTGCTGGAGTTTTTCCCAGAGTGAAAGAGGAGAGGAAAGAAATGCGCACTTTCCAGGGCTGAATTAACTCAGAAAACATTGGCTTTTTTCACCAGATATCCAGTTGGAAGTATAGCCTTTTTTCCCATGCTTTGCAGTCATGAAAAACTGCGAAAAGTTGGTCTTGCTATTTCTAGTGTCTGTGCTGCTGGTGAGAGCTCAAGAAACTGGTGAGTCCATTTTAAAATAGTAAGATAGCTATTTGAAGGATAAAAAGAAAAACAGGTGTCATACAATAACTGAAAAAAGAAAATTACACCTCTTCATGATGAAATGTTTTCTGACATTGTAACAAAACAAAAAAAGGTAATTATCAATCATTATAAAATAAATTCTCAGCTACTTTTCTATGATTTAATTTGTGACAAAAAGATGGTGTGCATCAGGATGTGCAAAGCTTAAAAATTTCCATATTTGACCTTGAATCCACATGCAAAATTAGATTGGTGGATGGTTGAATTAGGGGAGGTCAACTTGCAAGGTACCACCTGTACTAGAATTGAATAGTTTACATTTAACTAAAACATATTTCTAACTGGATTTGTAAAAAGTTTGTTATACAGTACTGAAAAAATTGTTGTAACAAGATTTTACTGTATTTCAGAATGGTTTGTGTATTGATTCCATATAGTAATAAGTTGAACCAGCAATTATGATGTAAAAGTGTGGGTGAATGCCTTTTTTCATAAAAATATCCAGATCCTGCAAACCCTGAAGAGGATGAGACAACTCATTCAGAGAGTGAGCCCAAAGAAGACCATCATAAGGAACAAAATCCCCAAGGTTGACTCATCTTTCAGTGCACAGTATAATTGACTCAGCAGTAAAACAAAATGTTTGCTTTCATTAAAAAAAATTCCCAGCAGACAATCATCAAGATGCAGCACAGGAAGACTCCACAATAGCACATGAGAACTTGTTATTTCTACTTGTGTTACGAGAACTTGTCCCGGTCTCTTTTCGGATGGTATAGTACCGGTACAGTTTAATACCGGTCTTTGGGACCAACCCTGTTTCCTTCTTCTGACCCTTTTTGTTGTTGAGGACAGAGGACCAAAATAAGGAAACAACAACACAGAGTGTCCTTAATGAAAATACTCAAATTCCAACAGATTGATTCTGGTAACAAGAAAATGACCCCCCTTCCAAAATGTTTGAGAATAAAACAGACCACTTCAACTTGGCTCACTTTTATTTGCTTTTCAAGGAATCATCAAAAGCCTTCTGAAGGTTAAATCTCCTTTATTATTCTTGCATGACTTTTTACAAAGGTTGAAAAAAGTTTTAAAAGTTTTTCCTTTTACTTCCTGATGTGCAGAAGTGATTAATCCTTGTTGAAGTGATAAAGATATTCTTGATTGCCCTGAAATGGGAAATAGGGGTTTTCCCTGGTGCAGGATTGTTGGTCCTAAGAGAAACAAAGATGATCCAGTTCAAGTGTTTCTGGAAAATGGTGCAGATGGCGCTAATGCTGACTGTTTTATCACCTCTCAATGGGTGTCACTGCCTGCACATAAGGTGATTCTCTGTGCTGAGTCCATAATGCTCAATCAACATTTCTGTGGAGCTGCTGAGACAAAAGGAAACATTAGGTATATGGGTTTTTGTTGTATTGGTATTGTACCGAATTTAAAGTTTTTTCAATCACTTTAAAATAAAAAGGTATGAGAGGACATTTTAGTGGGCGTGTTTGATGCTTCTGAAGCTTGGAGGGGAAATGTAAATTATTTGGTTTGCGCAAAACTGAAATTTTCTGACTATATTTTCTGACTAGACTTTGACTGCTGAAACAACAGTCAATTTATCATAACTAACTGTTAATATGAAAGTCTTGGTGTTGCAAAATACTTACTATTGAATAAGTTCTGTATTTCAATATTCTCTTGATAACGCTTATTGGATTTAATGCCATTTGCTACTTTCCTGTTATCTCAGTACCTACTTTCTGTGCACCCACCAGAAACTGTGAATTTCATTTTTCTGCATTCTGCTGAAACTGATTTTGGGAGGTGGTTAGGTAAAGTTAGGTCAGGTTATGTTAGTTACAAATATCTTTCAATTAACATACCCTGACCTAACCTAACCTAACAAATACTGAATTCAC